TGGATGGATGATGGATGGATGGATGGATGATGGATGGATGGATGGATGGATGGATGGATGGATGGTGATGAGAGCTGTGGGAGCTCCCAATGCAATGATTTTAAAAAGAAGACGTGAAGATGTGAGACTCTGTCCCATGTACCTTTTCTTCCTCTTTTTTTACTACAACTTTCCTTCCCACTTCCTCCTAGGAGGCCTCTACTGTTACTAAGCCCCCCCTCTGCCCAGGCTAAACCCCTTTACAGCAGTGGTTCTCCACCTTCTGAACACCGTGACACCTTCATGCAGTTCCTCATGTGGTGGTGACCCCCCCAACCATAACATTATTTTCGTTGATACTTCATCACTGTCATTTTGCTACTGTGGTGAATCAGGCGACCCCTGTGAAAGGGTCGTTCAACCCCCCAGAGGGCTCCCAAACCCCAGGTTGAGAACTGCTGCTTTAAAGGGAGGATGTCTTTTTCTTTTAATGTGATTCTGGATAAAATGAGTTACTCAATAAATACTCAAAAACAAATTCGTGAGAAAAACAAATTTTTGTTGTTGTTTCAGAGAGTCTTCATCAAGAGCCATGATTACAATTAGCTTATCGTTTAACTTGACAGCGTCTATTGAGTGCCCACTGCATACGGTCAAGCGGCTGGGTAGCCATGGTGTGTGATTGGTTGTAATCTCAGGGTGGGGTAAGAGCCCCCTCCAGGCTCCCTGGAAGAAAGGCCTGGAATACTGAGCCTGCACACATGAAGACAAACCCATGGGGCACAAGCTCAAGGGGCATAACAGTGCACAAAAGTTAATGTTCTTTGTGCTACTTGGGCGAAGAGCGACTGGAGCCCAGCAAGCTCCTGAGCAGCCGTCTAGAGTGAGGTCCCTGGAGGAAAGGCGAGTGAAGCTCGTCAGGGCACCTGGAGACAGTTCATCCAATGGGCTAACGGCCACAGAAGCATCGGTCTCTGTGACCCTGAGGCCAGAAGAACTGGAGGGTGCCCAGCTACCACCACCACGTGCTCTGGAAGCACTGTGTTAGACACTTCTGGATAGAGCAGAAGAGAAATGGGGAGCAAAACTCAAAGTCCTATAAAAGGCCAGGCGGTGGGACTCCTGAAACTACAGCCCTGAGTCACCCTTCCGGTCTGCACGTGAAGACCCGTCCAGGGCTCAGATTGCAGCCAGACAGCCGTCTCCAAGGGGAGCAATCACACAGGGGATGGATGCATACCTTAGCGCAGCTGTTGTCCACCTGGGGGTCGCCACCCCTCTGGGGGGTCGAACGACCCTTTCACAGAGGCGCCTAAGACCTTTGAAAAGCACATACTTCCACTGGTCTTAGGAACCGAGACACCGCTCCTCTAGCCATCTCCAGGCGGGTCCGCCCACATGCAGATACACCCACATGAAGACTGTTACCCATGCTCCACCATGCTTCAAGACAAAATTTCATTTATTTTTCATTAGAAATAAATATTCCGGGAGGGTAGAGGGAGAGTGGGTAGGAAAGAGGGAACCGATTACAAGGAACTGTATGTGACCTCCTCCCTGGGGGACAGACAACAGAAAAGTGGGTGAAGGGAGACGTCAGACAGGGCAAGATATGACAAAATAACAATTTATAAACTAACTATCAAGGGCTCATGAGGGAGGGGGGAGCGGGGAGGGAGGGGAAAAATGAGGACCTAATGCCAGGGGTTTAAGTGGAGAGAAAATGTTTTGAGAATGATGAGGGCAATGAATGTATAAATGCGCTTTACACAATTGATGTGTGTATGGATTGTGATAAGAGTTGTATGAGCCCCTAAATAAAATGATTTTTTTTAAAAAGAAATAAATATTTCACAATATATAATGACATATTGAATACTTACCTGGCAGGGGGGAGATACCATGATCACGAAGGTGGATTTCCCAGGGCGAGGCTTATCCATTGCACTCGGATGTGCTGACCCCTGCGATTTCCCCAAATGTGGGAAACTCGACTGCATAATTTGTGGTCGTGGGGGACTGCGTTTACGCTCTCTCCTGACTTTTTTTTTTTTTTAAGGAGAAAAAAAAAAAGACATTGTTTGTGGGATGAATCACCATGCTTTAATGACGCTCAATTTGTAACAATTAAAATACATCCTGCGTATCAGATATTTACATGACAACTCATAACAGTAGCAAAATTACAGTGATGAAGTAGCAACGAAAATAATTTTATGGCTGGGGGGTCACCACAACACAAGGAACTGTATGAAAGGGTCGCGGCATGAGGAAGATTGAAAACCACTGCCTTAGCGTCATCAAGCATCTGACCTCAGAAGGGTAGCATTGACCCAAGGACCGATTCCCAGAGGGTTAGTGGGGAAAATGGAGAAAGCGCCTGCGTGGTGCCTCCCTGTGGGATGACCATCGGTGACATGAACAAACTCGTATGAGTTGTTGAATGGAAAACTGATTTGCTCTGTAAACCTTCACGCAATTCACACTAAATAGTAATAATAATCATAATAAAATTAAAACCAAGAAAGCCCTGTGGAATGGTTTGGCTCTATGATACACTGGTTGGGGCTGGTGCCGGTCCACAAGCCGGCAGTGTTGTGTATCGGTGCTGGCAGGTGAAGGGGCTGTAAATGGTTCACCTCCAAGTGGTGGAATGTGCGGGCCGTATCCCGTCTTTTCTGCCAACATCTGATGCCCAGCGCCTCATCCTGCGCTCGTGAAACGTCACCTGATACAACGTTGTCATTCATTGCACCCAAGACCGGATCATCAGTCGCAATAAGCCATGGTCTGCTAGATTCATTTGAAGCTATGTGTATGATCCAATAGCTCGAAACTTATGAGAGGTTGCCCAAAAAAAAAAAAGAAGAAGAAGAATTGTTGCGATTTCCGGGGACCCTCCCCCCAGCTTCCTGCAAAGATGGCATTTCAGGTATCAGTGCGTCGTGGAGTCCAGGAAAGTCACACTTGCACAATATTGCTAACCCAGACGACATCACAGCTCGCTTTTTCCCATAGGCCTTTATTTTCTTCCTTTTTAAAAATTAAATCGTTTTACTGGGGCCCTCACAGCTCTTAGCACCAGCCAGACGTCGACTGTATCGAGCCCATTTGTACACATGTTACCACCATCATCTTCAAAATATTTTCTTTCTACTTGAACCCTTGGTATCAGCTCTTTTTTCCCTCCCTACCCCCACCTTGCTCCCTTGTGAACCCTTGATAAATTATTAATGCTTTCATCTCTTGTACCGTCCCCGCTATTTCCCTCCACCCATGTTTCTGTTGTTCATCCCCCTTTGTCCCCCTTCTCCCCCCACCCTCCCTCTACCCGCATGGTATTGCTACTCCCATCACTGTACCTGGATGGGGTCTATCTGTCCTGGATTCCGTGTGTCAGAGCTCTCATTTGTACCAGTGTACATGCTCCAGGTCGGTGCTATGCTGCACCCTGGCTGACTCGTTCCTTCCTTGTGACTCTTCTGTGAGGGGATGTCCGATTGTCCGCAGTTGGGCTCTGGGTCCCCACTCAGACCCGCTGGGTCACAGCGGTGATTGTTGGGGGCCTTCTGATGCCTCTGTCTCCCTACAGATCTTCACCTCGTTGCCTCCGTTTGCTCTGGGAATCTTCGAACGGTGCTGCAGCCAGGAGAGCTTGCTCAAGTACCCGCAGCTCTATTCCGTCTCACAGGAAAAGAAGGGGTTCAACACGAAGGTGAGCGCCCCAAATGGACTTCAGGGTCACCTGGTCCTCCCTGGTCCCTCCCTGAAGCCCTCCGGGAAACATAAATGCAGAACAAGAAGGGACACAGCCCTGCACCTCCTTCCCTCTGGGTTACCTGATGGGAGGACGTGAGCCTCCCCAGTTTCCAAAGGGGCTGTGGCTGATGCAGGGCTATAGGAGTAGACGTAGCAGAGACACATGTCCCCCACCCCCACCCCCGGGCCCCCCAATTTTACCATCTGGCCTTTTACAAAAAAATGTCTGCTGACCCCCGGCTTATCATTTCCATCAAGTTGGGAGCATTTTGAGTTGAGTCATTTGTTCAAACGACCACCACCACCCGTTCCCCAGCCCCAGACCTGCCCTCTGTATGTTCCGTGACACACGTCTGAAGTCTGAAATCTCCGTCAAGTGATATTTTTACTGGTGAGTGTTTAAGTCTCCAGGAAGGAGTTCATGACCAAGTCTTCAAGTTCACTTCTGAAATATTTAATTAGGCATGACCCCCTCCCCGCCCCCCCCTTCCTCTTCTCATTGTCTCGTCTGTCATAAATCCCACGAAGTGGACTTTTCTTTAAGCCTTGCATGTGGTGGTTTTCAATCGTCTGTAGGATTACGACGTGGGTGGTCTTTATGCTTCCGTGCCCCTACTTAACTCTCCCAACAGAGGGATGCACTTGCCCTAACTGCGTGAACATCCTGCGGGCCTTGAAACAGCTGTGTCAATTTGAGGTTGATTGAGTTGATGTATTTGCCACCTCGTTGTCAGTTGTCCTCGCATTTTCCTGCTTCTTGGCCTAATCACCCTTGACCGTTGTGAATTTCGCCTGGCAAATGTCTCCCTACAAGTGTTCTTTCGTTTTGCTCGGGGACTCAAGCAGGTTAATTGGAAACTGTCGGATACCCCAGGATCTGACTTTGAAGATTAGTTGGGCGGCAAAGCAGCACCAGTTGAGGCATAATTAGTCTCCACTACTGGGGTAAGGAAAGGAGCTCAGCTGGTGTAGGGCAGCGGTTCTCCACCTGTGGGTTGAGACCCCTTTGGGAGTCGAACGGCCCTTTCACAGGGATCACCCGATTCATCACAGTAGCAAAATGACAGTGATGAAGTAGCAACCAAAATAATGTTATGGTTGAGGGGTCACCATGACATGGGGAACTAACTGTATGAAAGGGTCGCGGAGTGAGGAAGGTTGAGAATCACTGCTCCAGTGGGCTGTGGTTTGTGTGGGGGGGCTGCTGACTGCCAGGACAACTGTAGTCCATCAGTAGCTCCTCAGAAGACATACCAGGCTGTCTGCTCCACTAAAGATTTACAGCCTTAGAAACCCACAGGGGCAGTTCCACTCCATCCCCTGTGCCATAGGATCTCTGTCATTGGGATTCACTCAATGGCATTGAATTTGGGTTTTTTGGTTTGGAGGCAAGAAAGGTCCTGGTAGCAACCCTGGGTTTTTGTTGGATGCCAGCTGCAAGCTGTGGTTCAAACCCACCAATGGCTTTTTGGGAAGGAAGATGAAGTTACCTGTTCCTGTAAAGATCCACAGCCTTGGAAATCCTGTTTAGGGTGTGTGTTAGTCTGGGTAGACTAGAGAAACAAATTCATAGAGACACTCGTGTGCATAAGAAAGAGGTTTATGTACAAGAGCAATTGAATATTGAGAAAACAGCCCAGTCCAGATCAAGTCCATAAGTCCGATATTAGCCCTTATGTCCAATACCAATCTATAAAGTCCTCTTTGGACTCACAAAACACATGCATTGGCACTGAATGCAGGAAGATCACAGGCCAGTGGGTGGGAAGTCTTGTGGATCCAGTGGTGTTGTAAGCATCTCAGCGCTGGCAGGGGTCTCCACGTGCCTTCTCTGGCTGCGAGCTTCTAGTGTAGTTCCATGTGTCTTGTCAGCAGAGCATCTCTCAGGGAATCAGCGTAAAGAGAGAGTGTCTCCTGCCTCCAAAGAGGAAATCCAGAAGTCCCCAGAATCCTCAGGAACAGGCCATGACCACACAGAGGCCTCATTGGCTATATCCCGATTGACAGGCTAGACTCCAACCCTACATACCTCATGTTGACACCAGATTATGTAACTACCACAGGGTTGCTGTAAGTCAGAACCAGCGTGGTGGCAGTGGGTTTGGGTTTGGGCTTTGGACTGAGGCAAGGACCCGAGAGCTGCTCCCAGACAGAGTGACAGCCTCAGAAACCCTAAGGGTCAGTTCTCTTTGTCCTGTAGGGGTGCTCTGAGTCAGACTCAACCTGATGGCTAGAAGGAGTGCTGGTGACACAGCAGGTTAAGTGGTTGGGCTGCCAACCCCAAGGTCAGTGGTTCAAACCCACCAGCCACTACATGGAAGAATGATGCAGCTGTCTGGTCCTGTAGAGAGCTTCACTGTCTCAGAAACTCGAAGGAGCAGTTCTACTCTGTCCTGTAAATTCACTCTGAATCAGAACCCCCACCCACAAGGGCAGTGGGTTTGGGATTTGAGCAAGAGCTTTCTGTGTAGTCACTCAATGTCCAAGGGTCATGGTGTTTTCAACCTAGCGTTAGCTTTGCTTTCCGATTGGTTTCCTGTTTGTTTTTTTAACTTGGTTTCCTACGAACTGCCTTACTCCAGGAAAATTCCGGCTCTCAGCTAGGTATGTTTTTCCCCATACATTCTGTAAGTCTTCCTGGTAAGTATGGAAATAAGTGGTGTATTTAGAATGGAAAGGACAGGGAGTTTTGTTTTTAATTCATTTTCTATCATCTTCTAACCTATGTATTCCTTTGTTTGAATTGATCCCCGAGATTTTAAAAATACTATTGACATTTTCTGTGTGGAAAAAAAATTATAACTGGCCTGTTATAAAAAAAAGCATAAGAATTTTTGGAAAAATTATTTTAACCCGGGTCAGAATATAGATATTAAAAGACCAGAGTGTGATCACAGAAAAATGCAATATGAGATGACATTTTAATTATTATCTTTAAAAATTGTAAATATTTTATGCAGTGTTGTGTTAGCCTAGGTAGACTAGAGAAACAAATTCATTGAGACACTCATATGTGTATAAGAAAGAGATTTATATACAAGAGCAAACATCCCAGCCAGTCCATATCAAGCCCACAAGTCCGATACTAATCTATAAAGTGTTCCTCTGACTCATAAAACACATGCAACGATGCGGAATTCAGGAAGATCACAGGCCAGTTGGTGGGAAGTCTTGTGGATCCAGTGGCGGTGTAAGCATCTCAGCACTGGCAGGGGTCTCCAAGTGGCTTCTCCAGCACCCAGGGCTGCATCAGGGTAGGTCCATGTGACTTCTCCTCAGGGATGTCTCACAGGGAGTCAGGCATATCAGTAGTGATTCTCCAAGGGAGTGAACTGAGTAAGAGCATGTGTACCCCCTCCAAGGAGGAAATACAGCAATTCCCAGAATCCTCAGGGGAAGGCCATGCCCACACAGAGGCCTCATTGGCTGTACAGTGATTGACAGGCTAGACTCCACCCCTTCCCTCGTAAACCTCTCAAACTGACAACAGATTATGTAACTACCACAAGTGCCTTTGAAAATCATTTCTTGTTCTGCTTCACTGGATCATTTGAGCCTCCAACGCTTATAACAAATATATTACTTTTGAGCTTTATGGTTTTTTTAAAAATATTTAATAAAAAGAAGTGACCACCGGTGCTCAACGGCCACCCTCAAAAGTTGGCCATTTGAGGGGGAAAGTGGCTCTGGGCTTCCATCCGGAGGACAGCTTTGACACCTCATGGGACAGTTCTGCTCAGAGCTGTAGGGTCAACATCAGCCCCAATCAACAGGACAGCACCACAGCACCATCTACGCAACGGATTTGTTTCCCAAAGGACATGGTTCTACAATCCATAGTCTCTTCTCTTCCAAGTTGAAAGGGAAATGTTTTTGTTTTGGATCTCCCGACTCCAGGAAGGGCAGGGACTTCAGCGTGGCACTGGGTCGTGCACACCAAGTACACGCTGCCATGTCACACACCTGCAGACTCAGACCCAGGTCCCGGCAGTGTGGGCCCTCTGTGACCGTCTCGGTTTGGTTTCTTTCAGGTGTTCTGGTTTGAATGTATGAACGCCGTGGGACAGTCATTGGTCCTCTTCTGGTTGCCCAAACAGATGCTGGAGCACGGTACCGGCTTCCTCGTTTCAAATATCAGCCCTGCCCCCACCCACACCCCCAGGCTAAAAAAAGGGGGGAAGGAGTTACTCTCACTAGAGTAAATGCATGAAGCAAAATCAAGCGTGGCTGTTTGCATCTCCAGAAATAACTGGAGGACACACAGAGAGAATTAGAGGAAACCAAGTCTCCAGCGAGTCTCCCATTAGGCATTCCTCTACCCAACACGCGATCGCTTGACCACTGAAGGGCTGACCCTCAGAGCCCATTCTCTTTGCCTCTCGTGTGCATTATCCAGGAACGAGGGCCTGCATCGTCGATCGCAAGTGTGTGTTTGATAAAGGGAGTTCCATGCCTTGGACAGGATTTCTGTCGGGGCAGAGAGGTCTCCTGGCAGGGAGTCTGAAATGTATGGCTACTTGATGGTTTTGCTTTATTTTAATTCTAAAACCCATTCCGTTTATTTATTTAGACAGGTCATCTATCATGTTTCTAATGAATCATTTTAGTGGGTGGCTCTTACAAATCTTATAACAATTCATCATTCAAAAGTATTAAGCACATTTGTATATGGGTTGCCATCAATGTTTCCAAAACAATTTCTTTCTACTTGAGCTCTTGGTATCGGCTCCTCTTTTTATCCCCTCCCTCCCTTGAGAATCCTTGATCAATGATGTATTGTTATTATTCATGTCTTACACTGTCCGTTGTCTCCCTTCACCCACCTTTCCGTTATCCGCCCCCCTGGGTGTGTGTGGTCTATCCAGCCTTGTGATGGGTTCCCCCTCTCCCTCCCCCCCTCTGCCCCTCCCTCCCACCATCCCCCTACCCTCATGCTATGGCTCCCCCACTACTGTTCCTGAGGGTTTTATCCGTCCTGATTCCCGTGTGTCCAGAGCTCTTGTCTGTACACTTGACGTCTTGTGTTCGCTTCTTAAACTTCAGTTCAGATGGTGACACAGCGCATATAGGAGTGAACCTCGGCGCGCCTTACTGACAGGGTCTCTCTGTTTCCCTGATAGACACTTTCCCAATGTGCTTCTGTAACAGTCCAAACTGAGTGGTGCCTAATGCGCCCAGACCTGGGCCTGTTACAGGGAGGATTTTATTGCTCTGAAATAAGCCCACACGTCAGACGGCCACAAGCTAAGCTCCCGTGAGACCCGTGCTAAGATGACCTTGCTCTTCGGGGGTCTGACCCGTCCTTCTGCCTTTGACAGTGACGCCCACCTCTCTTTGTCTTAGTGGCAGATGTTGGGTTCCCTCCTCCCGCAGGCTCCCATCTGACGTAGCTCTGGTGGCGGCTGTTTTACAGGTTGCGATATATACTTATTTTTCTAGAACCAAACTTCCGTTAACAGGTCTTTTACCTTGGACATGTTAAGGGGAGAAAATGGATTTGAGTTGTGTGTGTGTGTGTGTTTGTCAAGTCACGAGTTGGGCTTCTCACTGAAAGGTTAGCGGTTTGAAACCACCAGCCCATCCCCGGGGAAAGATGAGGCTTTCTATTCCTGGGAAGAGCTCCCGCCTTGGAAACCCACGGAGGCAATTCTACCCTGTCCTCAGGGTCCCGACGCTTCAGAATTGCCTCGATGGCAATGAGCTGAGTGTCCATTTGTTTCTAAAAGAATGCACCCACTATTATACTGCTCAGGGGGTCCCTCTTTAAAACGTAGCACAATAACTTAGTACACAATGAATCACAAAAGCAATAGAAAATTCAGAGCTTTATGAAGACTCACTTCCCTTCTGGGTGGCTGTATAAGGGGCCCCCTGTGAACCCCAGCCTCAGTGAAGCAAGCAAACTTGGGGGATGCGGGGTAGGGGGGCTACGAAAAGGAAGCAACAACTATAAGTAATCCTAAATTGCCCTAAATGCATCCAGCAAATTAATACATATTTATTCACAAACATCTACTAAATCCCAGTAGAAACAATGACTGTCTGCCCCTCCCTCCCCTTGCCCACCACCCTTTAGTTTGATGGAAGGTCATCTCCTGGCAGGTGTGGTCGAGGACACAGGGCTCTCTCTTCTCTGGTGGCATAGAGGTTAAGAAGTGGGCTGCTAACTGCAAGGTCAGCAGTTCGAAATCACCAGCCAGCTCCAAGGGAGAAAGATGGGGCTTCCTGGTCCCGCAAAGAGCTCCAGTCTCCGAAACTCACAGGCGCAGTTCCGCCCCAGTCCCAGAAAGTCACCAGGAGGCAGGGTGTCTTCTCTGACACAAACAAGGGTGACCACAGCCCTCGAGGAGGGGCATCTCTCCAGCATTGTCCTTCCGCGCTGACTGTAAAATGAAGAGGCCAGACTTGGGTGCATGTGGCCAAGAGGCCGGGCATCTCTCTCTAACAAAGGCTCCAGAGCCCTGACTCCCTTCCTCCCAGTGCTGCACCCGAGAGCAGGAGGTCTGTCCTGGGAGACACCAAACCCACAAGGCTCAGCACCAAGAGGAGTGGATCGAAGGCTCCCCAGGGGAGAGGCAGAACCTCGGTGCGCACCCCCAGGCGGGTATCACGTTATTTGAAACAAAATGTCGGCAAGGTCCAAGCTTGAGGATGCCCCGGTCGTGGGGAGTAGAGCAATAAACCACCAGCCAGCTCGTTCACCAGAGAGAGAGAGAGAGAGAGAGAGAGAGAGAGAGAGCGCATGCTGAGAAGAGTCCTGCCGTGAAGAGTAACCCCGTAGACTGGCATCATCAATACTTCTGCCTGAATCTAATTAGCTCAAGCTGGGGGGCGGAGGAGGCACCCATGCCGCAGGGCACTGTTGAACCCATGGAGCAATCTGTCCTCAGGACTTGGTGAGAACCAGCACTTCCTGTCGTGCCACCCGGGGCTTAACCGGATTAGGGCACGCGTCGAAGGGAGTAAGGCTAAAACGACTCTTTCTTTCTTCTTCTTTTTTTCTTAGGAATTCAGTTCTCTTTAATGAAAGTTTTGGATAAAGGCAGCAATGTTCAAGAGATTGTCTAACATGGATGATGAACATTTAGCATGTGACATAGCTTAAGTGGTTTGGAATGAATGAGAGATCTGACGATCCGTATTTATACCATCTGAATTCATGGTGACAAATGCACAGTACTTTGTAGTAATGGTTTGGGGATATCAGTTACAATTATGTATACTTCATCCTGAGAACATCTCAAATGATAGGTATCGGCATAAAAAATTAAAATATGCTCATCATTTTTCTCTGAAATAGAATTAGATGATGAAACTGCATTTCATTATACCTGTCAAATGTCTAGAAAAACGAGACATGAGTATATGTAATCAATAATGATGGATCATCTCAAACATAGCTAATGTTTTAGTTTAAAGTAACCATGCTTCTAAAGAAAAAGGTCATATCATAAAACGAAGCCTAATATCTTGAATTAGATTACTTTTTTCCTGAAACTACTATTAAACTGGGAGACGTGTGCATTAAATCTAGGCCGGGCCTTCCAAGAGACACACCAAAGCTTCACACGGTAGGGGCATGGACTTTACTCAAACGATGCAGGTCACAAAGCACATAAGCAAATAGCACCAACTATTACCGTATGTACTCGGGTATTAGCCGCATTTTCAGCACATTTTTAATGCAGTTTTTGTGGTAAAATTAGGTGCCTCGCCTGATACTCAGGTAGGCTTATACTTGAGTATATATGGCGGTCTTGAACGAGTTGCTACAGTGTACTGATTACATGCAAGGTCCAATTTCACCAAAAACAAAAAGCAACAACTATGAAACAGGCAAAGAAACAAAGTGTGATATCTCTATAGGGAGCAAGTGGGGATTATCGACGGAAACTGGCTGTAGAAGCACCCAGAGGTCACCTTTAGCAGTTGGAAATAACCTCTGTAACTCTTGTTTGAAGAAGGAAGGGACACCACGCTTAGATGTATGAAGCCGGAAGACCAGGGAGCACCAAGTGGAAATGATCATTGAGGAGGGAGAAACTGTAACAAAGGAACAGATGAACGTTCTGGAACCAAAAAGCACAGCCGGCAAAGGAAAGGTTTATTAGTGGGGCCAGGAAAGAGCCAGGGGCAGGCTGGACTGACTCGTGGTGACCCGCTGGACAGCAGAGCAGAGCGAACCCTCTCTGGTCTTGCATCGTCCTCACAGCCGCTGTTTCGCTCGAGCCACTGCGTCAATCCCTCTTACCGAAGCTCGTCCACTACGGCTGACTCTGCTGAACTCAGCGTGCGGTCCACTTGCGGTGACTGAGAGCCTGTCCAGGTACCTGAGGTGAAGTCTTGCCATCGTCACTTGTCAGGAGACCTGTGGCTGTCCTTTAGCCAGGACGGTTTGTTTCTTCTTCTTCTAGCAGCCCAGGGTACTCTCAATATTTTTTCCTACTCTACAATTCAACATTTTTGTCCATTCGGGAAGTTGACGGCCGGTCAGAAGGAGGTTTGTCATCAATCGCCATTTCACCTTTTTTGAAACAAGAAAGCCACTCGTACACTTGAGATTTTCCCATAGCTCTGTCCTTGTAAGCTGTGTTCAACATCACAACAGTTTCTGCAGCATTTTCCCCTGGGCAGGAAACAAAAATTCACAGCCGCACGCTGTTCTCTTAAGTCGGCCATCACAGAAAATGAGGTTCAAGTCAAACTGCTTTTACAAAAGAAATTCACTGTGACCAGAGAGAACCTTCCCAGGTGACCTCGCTGGGGGCACTCACTCAGAGCGAGTGGCTCAATGCTTGATGCTCATTTAGCGGGTCAAGTACATACTACAAAAGCTCCACTGGGCAGAACATTTTTCTGTGGTTTTTTTTTTGTTGTTGGGGGTGGATACTCTTGTATACAGAATAAGGCACACAGGGGGCATGGTAACAGAACTTCGTAGGTAAATTAGAATACCTTGTGGGATTGGTTCGCTGGGATAGAGTTTAGGACTGCAGTCTCATGGGATAAGACAGTCAACTGGTATCACGGGGTTCCTAAAGAAAATCCTCTGCACCCCCCTCTTTGGAGGAGCATCTGAATCCGGAAAGTTTGAGGTGGCCTCTAAGATATAGATATCGGTCTCTTCTTGTCTGGAACAAGGGCAAGTGAAGGAAACCGCAGACTTGGGGAAGAAATTAGTCATGTGACTCATGGCCCAGGCTAACCACAGTCTCTTCCGTCCTGAGGTTAACAGCACTACGTGGTGCCTGACTACCTCTGACCCCTGTTAAGACCAGAAACCTTGTAGAGCAGCGGTTCTCAACCTGTGGGTCGCAACCCCTCTGGGGGTCGAATAACCCTTTCACAGGGGTCGCAGATTCATCACAGTAGCAAAATGACAGTGATGAAGGATGAACGAAAATACTTTTATGGAACTGTAGGAAAGGGTAGCGGTGTTAGGAAGGTTGAGAACCACTGCTATAGAAGGTTCTGGGTAGAATGGGAGAAAAAGGTAGAGTAAAATTCTGATTCCTAAGAATCACCAGACTGACTTCATCCACCGCCCCGCCCTGCAAGACTGTCACTCTAAGATACCCTTTGAACTTGGAACTGAACCTACTCATGGAGATCACCTTTCTGCCAAATAACAGATTGGCTTATAAAACAAACAGTGTCCCGCAACGTATCATACGCTCCTTTAAACATCTGATTCCGTGCAGCCCACGGTCAGTGTTCTCACAAAAGCAGAGATGAGGGGCAAGGGGAGGAGTGGGCGGGGAAGGCAGATCCATGGAAACAGAAGGAGCAGCCCGGAAATCATGAGAGTGCTGACGCATCGGGAACACTGTAACCAGTGTCACAGAACAGGTGGTGTAGACATCTTAAACAGGAGTCAAATGTCACCTGAAACAGGAAGTGTGTTTTTTGGTGGCTAATATGGGTTTGGGCTGGTTTTTCTTTTTTTTTTTTTGGTAAGCGTAAATTCCACATCTCTCTCTCACATCTGTAACATTGAAACTGACCTTTTCGCTTTTCAGATATGGTCGAAGGAGGTGGTTACACGACGGATTATTTGTTCCTTGGGAATTTTATTTATACGGTAAGATCGTCCTTGGGATGTTGGATTTAAGGAAGTGTCACACAGCAGTCTGCCACGAATCCAAAGTCTCTCCGGCACCCCCATGCTCTTCCCCGGAAGAAACTATCGCAGCGGTGCATGGGCCTCTCAGATGGCCTTCTGCACATGTGAAGAGCAGGCACACACGTGTGTGACCCTTGCCCTTTTCCTCCCGCACATTGGAGGAAACCCTTGTGTATCTGTTGTTGTTGTTGTTGTTGTTACCCATGAACACTGTGCTGAGTGCTAAACACATGGAACCTAACTGAGTCCTCATAAGAATTATATCTGTCGGCAGGTAGAAGGACAGTAACTGCATACAGACAGACACGCGCGAAATTCCTCGTTGAGATGCCCGACTAAACTCTTGAACTCTCGAACTATCTAACCCCCAAGGCTTTAAAAAAAATCACCAAACTAGGACAAAAACAACACCAAAACTAGTAAAGCTTGAATTTAAAAATATATATAGGAAAGTAATTCACCGCAGCAGCTGAAGAAAAGGGTACTAGACCAATGCTAACATCCTGAAAACGTGATGCTAAAGCAGCAACACAAGGAAATCTGAGACCCCTGCCCCAACTCTCTTGGCGTGGGATCACACTGCTCCTGAGTTGGAAGGGAAGATGGGCCTTACAGGAAAATGGCAGAAACCTCCAGGAAAGCCGAGTCAACTGTGGAGCTGGTGGAGAATGTTTGACTCACCAGAATGAAGCGTATAGAGCACCCTTTTCCAGAAGCGGGCTCAGGTGGACCCTGAGAGTGAGATAGGTGTCCTTCCCCAGGGGCTTGAAGACAAAGGGTTTGGGAATAGCTTAGGAGAGCTTAGGAAGTCACCTGAGAATGCTGGTGCTGGTGAGAGAGGAGTGGACGCAATCAAAGGCTGCCTCAAAAGTATAATTTTAAACACTCATGACGCATGCGCTGTAACTTCGCACAGTTACCATGCACCTTCCCATTTGTCCACCTGCCATGCCCTCGCCCTGGGAAGTATCTTTTCATAACCATGCCGTGCTAATATTTTTTTAGCCACTTGTTTTTAAACACTGGCCTAGCAGCACTTAGGAAAATGCCTCCTGGGAGAGGAAGGGGCTGGCAAATAGATACGGAAGGTACCTGTTATTTGTGCATAGGTAAGGCATCCGCAAGACCTCACTTTGTAGTAAAATAAAACTCGAGGAAACCTTTAAACCCTCTCTCTTTGAGATGGGGCATAAGACAGGAATGGCCAGCACCCCCACCTCCCTCTCACGTTGTCATGGAGTTACGGATCAGGACAGCAAGGCAACAGCATGTCGTAAATGAACACCTCCACAGGGAACTAGAGGAGCTTTCAGATCATAGATGTCGTGAGTATGCGCATAGAAAACCCAAGAACAAACAGAAAACCCTAGGAATCAAATATGAGGAATAATCCAGTTTGCTGGGTACGGATCAATCATTAAAATAAATCTTATCTCTATATACCAGTAATAAGTATGTACCAAAAAAACCCAACAACTCATGACCATTGAGTTGATACCGACTCCCAGAGACCCTACAGGACAGCGTAGAACTGGCCCTGTGGGCTTCCCAGACTGTGCTCCATGTAACTCTTTACGGGAGTAAAAAGTCTCATCGCCACCATCAGTAGCCCACCACGCCAACAAATATATGGGGGCAGGGAATGGAGAAATTATTGTACAAGGGCATCAGCTACATGAAGGACATATGGATAGGCTACAAATGGTGCTCAAGAGCCCTTTGAGAAAATTGTCAAACCTTCTTGGACAAATTAAGAATATCTAACCGAGACGTGGGGAAGGTGCAGGACTGGGCAGTTTCCTTCTGTTGTGCACAGACAGGGCTCCTGTGAGTCTGAACTGGCCCAAGGCGCCTGTGAACAACCATATTCCTTGATGGGAAGACTTGCCACAAATTGATTTATAGATTCATTTTAATCCCAGCCAATATCCTTGGAGTCTTGATAAGCTCTTTCCAAAATGCAAGAGTCCGTTGGAAAGCATTGCTATCAACCCATAGAAGCTTTTAGTCCCCAACAATATCACAACGTGAAGTTTTCGCTTCTCAACATACCCTCCATCTAGCTCCACACACTTCTGAAGGTGGCGTTTGCCTCTCACTAACTCTTTCCACAGAGAATTCTGCACTCTTTGAATTTATTCCACATCAAAATGGCAGCCTGGGCATCATCGTCAAGGGACTAACTGGTCTTCCTTTCAAGTGTTCTCTGAGCTCAGAAACACAAAGAACAAAGGAGCCAGATCTGGACTGCAGGGTGTGGGTGGGCTAAGGTTTCCTGGTGAAATTCTGATAGGGCAGCCCTCAACCCTTGGAAAAATGAGCAGTGTGTTGTGTGTTGGGGCAAAACCAAACCAAGAACCCTCTGTGAAGCTTTCCTGGCTTTGACTTCTTGCCAGTACAGTTTTCAGTTCTTAAAACTTCTTTCTAATGAGCCTCCACAGCTGTCCTGTGTTCTTTGAGAGACTATTGAGATCACCCCTCGAGAATCCCCCAACCAGTTACCATAAGCTCCTCTGACCGCTCAGCCGTCAATGTGACTGGTCCAGCAGATGTCCTCAGAAATCATTGTGATGGGCAACTTTTTTTGGAAGAAAGCTTCACATGTTGTTGTTGTTTGCCGTCGAGTCAGTTCTGATTCACGGTGACCCTGTGCACAACAGAACAAAGCACCGCGCGGTCCGCACCATCCTCACAGTGGCTCTTACGTCTGAGTCCGTTGCTGCAGCCCCTGTGTCAGCCCTTGTTGTTGAGGGCCCTCCTTTCTTTGCTGACCCTCCACTTTGCCAAGCACGACGTCCTTCTCCAGGGACTGGTCTCTACTGACAACACACCCAAAGTCCATGCGACAACTTCTTGCCATCCTTGCGTCTAAGGAGCATGCTGGCCGTACATGCATGTGTGAACTAGAATACTGGTAGCGATGGTTTTTTACTTACCCTCGTGCAGATGAGTATGGAAACATGGAAGTTCAAGAATAACAAAGAACTCTTAGATTTAGAATGGCTTTCCCGCTATCCCACCTAACTGTGATTTTCATGGATAGCAGTCAGATGTCCAGGCAGAATCTAATCTTTGCTGCTATTTATATAGAGGCAAATTTGCAAGACAGAATGGTAGTGCTTAGTTAAAAGACTTTTTAACATGGAGCATTTAATGAAAACCCCTACATGCTCCCCAGGGCCAAAACATAGCAAAACACTTGGTAATCTGACCACAACAGAGGTCAACCCCAAGGAGGGCTCCTGGGGTGGAGAATCAGGACAGAAGTGGAGACACCTTGATTCTGCCGGGAAATTTTAACACCTGTTTTCCAATCTCTTTCCCTTTCTGTATCTCACCTCCAATAGTACGTCATTGTTACTGTAAGTCTGAAAGCTGGTCTGGAGACCTTGTCTTGGACTAAGGTAAGTCTTCTCCTCAACCCATTGGGGTCCTTTGCATCTTCCCATCCACTCCTAAGTCTCAGGAAAATGGTAAACCCCTGTCTAGTCTTGACAGTGTCCTTCTGGGCAGTCGCGTGATGCTCTAGCCTGAATGAAGATATGCCAACCACCTAAGAGCTTTAGAAGAGTCATTCTCCTGCCTTACGTTTGAAATAGATTCCGTGTAGCATGCACCCATTAAGATCCATAAGCTATTATGAATATGATTAAGTCCAGGGTCATTATAGAAAAGTTAACAAACACCAGACAGAAACTATAGGACTGACATACTGTCCTTACCTTTCGGTCTCAGTGACAATGGGCATTTTGGTGTCCATTCTCTTGGTCTCTACTCGAGATATGCTATTGTTTTTCCACAGGGAGAGGATGGCCCTGGACCTAATATTTTGTGACTTGCCTTTTCCACTTCACAGTAGACACTCAGCATTACTTTGTATCTTTAATTTGACAGCGACTTAATGACTCTCATATTCCGAGTCTCAGTTCTACCCTGTCCAGTCGGGCTGCTGTGAGTCAGCCTCGACTCGATGGCTGTGGGTTTGTTCTGCTTTTGAGTTGGAAGGCGCCCTCACGTGCATGCGTATTACCTATATGTAGAATTATTATGTTAACTTCTCTTGTGAAAAACTAGATTTACAGCGTGGAGAAGGGGGGTGGCGCTTCAAAAAGCCCACAGAAAAAGAGAATGGAGAGATCATGGAAATTGTCCATGAGTTTTTGGAAGCTCCTTTGTATTTGACACTGTTCTGAACATCTGTGTACCTGCATTTCCACGGGACCCAGTGATCTTTTCCTCAGGATGCCGTTAGAAGGGAGACTTCTAGCCAATTAGGCAGACTTTTAAGTCCTGCGAAAACGGAACTATCGATAAGTGCACATATGACTCATAAACCACCTATCACCTGGTGCTTTAGCAATTAGTCGTTGTGTGTTTCTCTACATGTCTGTTGATCAGATACAATTAAGGAGTGAGCAGTGTCTGACAGGGATGGGGCACTCTGGCTGGGTAGTGTGAGCGGTTTGCACTTGACCTGCCAGCCTCCATCCACGTGCCTACACACGGTTCAAACCCATTCAGCGGTGCCATGGGATAAGAAGGCCCGGTGATGTGATTCAGTTAAGAGGACAGCCAGGAACACCCCACTGTAGGGAGTTCAGTTCTACTCTGTGACTCAGGGTGTCACACCAGGAGTCAGACGCAACTTGATGGCAACCAGCAAATGGGCCGGGGCATGACCTGTAGCCTACAGGTGATGCATGAGAGGGGGACCGAGTCTAGCCAAGTTTAGGACGTAGATCTCCCAGGCATCTCCTTCGCCCTGCACGCACCAACCCTGCAAAGCAGCAGGTCTCCAAGGCAGATGCGCCTGAAGTTTCCACACCAAGACAGGGTCTGTGATTTTCCAGCCGACCATCTCCGCCGTGTTGAAGAATGTGGTTGATCCACACATAACCCTCCCACGACGACGGGTCTCAGAACCCGAGCTTCTGTCACTCACCCCGAACGATTTCCAGGGCACCCGTGTGACAACGTCAAATTCTGATCCCACTTAACGACTTAATTTTCGGCTTTATTTGTATCGACCGACTCATTACATAACCCTGCAGGTGTGTGAGCCCCCTTCCGATTGCGAGTTAATGTTTTTTCCACTGAAGACCCTGGAGGGTGGGTGGCTTTGTGTGTCCAAGGTCCTGTTGATGTAGATACTTTGAGCAATGGGGTCCTTTGAGCCCAAAGTCAAATATTCTGAGAAGGAAGTTCGAAAGGGCGTCACAATTTCCAAGGAGGATGCTTGGTGGAAGTCTCACCAACGACCAAGCAGGTGAAGGTGGACCAGGGCCTTCCAGAGAGCCTGAGCTGAGAGTGTCCTTTGTGAGTTGATAGAGTTCAATCCGTTCTCATGACGGCACTGACGTGTTTCTGCACTTCCCCCCTGTCTGCAGTACACTCATGTTGCCATCTGGGGGAGCATCGTGACCTGGATGCTGTTCTTCTCCGTGTACTCCTACTTCTGGCCCACCATTCCCGCCTCTCCGGAAATGAGTGGACAGGTGGGTGCCATGAGCTGTCAGCAGTGAGCGCGCTACCCGTTCCTCTTGAAAACTGAGGTGGTGGTGGTGTTGCAAACACACACACACACACACACACACACACACACACACACACACGGAACACAAAACAAACAAGACAGTGAAGGCTGATGTTACCTTCCTTGGAAACCATTTGGGAAGGAGAGGCCAAAGCCAAGGCCATGAATGTTTGCTCCGGATCCAGCCAACCTCGGGTGGAGCTTTGAGTTGCAGTAGAGATGGTTTTTCACCCCGACGTCTCAGGAGGCAGGCTCTCTGCAGGAGGCAGACTTTCCACAGGCTGCGTGTTCTGTGCGTCCTGGGGAGAAGCAGCAAACTGAAAATGCTAGTGTAATTATATATGTATATTTTCACGGCGTGGGCTGTGTGTTCCAACAATTAGCTACGTGGTAGCCCATGCATGACAAGTAAGGAAAAATATCTTTTCAACATGTTCAACAAACCAAATAGTCCTTCCCCAGTGTTCCAGACAGACTGCATAATCCAAGTGTGTAAATATTTTAAAGTTCCACGGACATTGTTATTGTGCTTATGTTCAACCCCAGGGGCTATATTTAAAGCAACAACAACACGCACGCAAACTTATCTGAAGATTTTTAAATTCCCCACGGTGTGTGCCTGCTGTGGGGAAAGGACCCCTGGTGACAGAGTGCATTAAGCATTGGGCTGTTTACCAGAGACCAGCGGTCCTTTGAGACCGTTTGTTGACAGCCTTGAAAAACCACGGAGAAGTCCCGCCGTGCCCTAGAGCGGTGGTTCTCCACCTTCCTCACACCACCACCCTTTCATACAGCTCCTCATGGGGTGGTGACCCCATCCCCCCACCAGAACATTATTTTCGTTGCTACTTGATAAAGTCATAAAATCTCACTCTGCCGGGGCTTGCCGTAACCTTCGCCCGCACAAGCATGATAAGCTAACCAACACACACGTGCCAGTCCAGAGTTCTCCAGCTGCCCCCCTCCCCCTCCCCCTCCCCCCAAGTGGGCTCGTCACAGCACCGCCACATTTGGCTCCCTCTGCCTTTCCCGTGTCGTGGGCAATTGCTTCCTGTGTCACCCATGGCCACACAGCTGGTACTGGCCATAACCTGGCAGAATTGAAACCAACCGGGAGCACCTGTGGGAGAAAGTGGCCTCGTGCCCGCCCAGGACACATGCCCTAGGGGTATCTGTTAGATTGCATGACAAGGAGCAGGATGCACTGGCCCGACCTGGGCCACGCGGTCGGTTTCAGAACCTTCGGCATTGCTGAAACTTGAGGGTCGAAGGGCTCGGGAGGAGGGCGTCACAGAGAAGCGGGAGTCACCGCGGGGCTGCAGAACCCCCTCCGTGGCCGGCCAACTTGTAAACAAGGCGTGGGGCAGGGGAGACTTTCAGAAACCCAGAGAGAAACAGGTGGCTGGCTGAGAAGGAAGCAGAAATACAACATCCACACCTTGAAGGCACGTCTCACCAGGTTAGAGTGGCCTTGGCGGGGTACCCAGGCTTTTCCGCCTCCACCTCAGAAAAGCCCCAGATTCGGAGAAAAATGTCACACTCTGGCTTCTTGTAAAAGCTAAATAAATCACAACTAACAAAGTGTCAAGTCCACCCTGGACACGATAAGGTTGTTCCCTGATTCTGTGTCTGCCTGCTTCCGGCCTCCCTCCCCCTAAAATCCTAAGAAAACAGTGTCCAGCATCTCTGTACCTTTCGTTTACAATGTTGAAAATTCCATTCAAATCACGAAACATGCTTTTAAAATAATCGATGCCTTTGACAATCAATAGTAACAGACCCGCAAGGGCTTAGCAGAAGCTTAGAAATTACCAAAGAAGAAGTGAATCGTTTCTCGCTAAGAGAAACAGCCTTTGAGGGTTACCCAGGATGGAGGGCTAGGGAGAGAAGTCGCAGGATAGAGGGTAGACCAGCGTCAACGTGAGTCACGTGACTCTCAAGTGTCAACGTGAGTCAAAGGGAAGACAGGGTCCCCCTCAAAAGAGAGACAGGTAAACCAGGATGGAAACAGGAGGTTTGATGAGCCATGGAAGGTATTCTTTTGCTCTTTTTCATGATCTTCTCTATAAACCTTCCCCTACTTCGCAATTTTAAAACGTTTTGCCAAAGAAAGAAACTGCGTCAGAAGCAGGTGAAACAGAACAATTAAAATGATCCCCAAGAAAGAGAAGAAATGAAGTTTTGACGCAGACCGCGTGGTGGTAGTCAGATGGCTTTCTGTGGACTAGACGGACACTCCTGGCTGGGGCTGGAGTCAAACCTGTCACAGCCTGAAGCCGCAGCCTTGGGGATGTGGTCTTCTCATAGGGAGGACCCTGGGCCCTCTCCTTCCCCTCCCTCTCTGTTACTGACCCTGAGAGCTGCTGCCGCCCTGCTGTGTTTTTACTGACCGGAAACCACGTCCCCAGCAGGACTCCTTGGGCTGGGCCCAGGGGCTGCAACAATGGTGCCGTTGCCGGACCAGGGAGTCCTGTGTTGTGTTGTGCATAGGATCACTGCAAGGCAAAACGGACTCGGGGTCCCTAAGAACAGCAACATGCTGGTGTTAGTGGTGCCACGTTTCCTGGGACTCCCTTTATATTGAGTGTATTTGGAAAACTGGAGACTACCAAAAGTATGCACAAACCTGTCTTGAAAGGAGCCAGGATGCTCTTCAGGTGACAGGATGGCAAGACTTTGGCTCACGTGCTTTGGGCACGGAAACAGGAGAGACCAGTCCCTGGAGGACGTCACGCTTGGTAAAGCAGAGGGTGAGTGAAAGAGAGGGAGACTTCCCATGAGACGGATCGACACAGTGGCGACAACAATGGGCTGCACTTTAACAACGATTGCGGGGTGTCGCACTGATTCCTTCCGTTGTGTAGACGGTCGCTGTGAGTCAGAGCCCACGTCACGCACCTAGCCACAATCACAACAACTTATCTGTTAAAAAGCAAACAAACGCATCCGGGTTTGGGTGGATTGGAGAAAACAGGCAGCCATAGTTGGCCCCGACACGGACAGACTGTACCCTCCTTGTTTACATAGTCTTCATGTCCATCTGTTTGCAGATCAACATGACCCTGACATGTCCGCACTTCTGGCTTGGCTTGCTTATTGTCCCCACGATTTGCCTGGTTCAAAATGTACTGTGGAAGTCGTAAGTTAAAAAACGAGGGGGTAACCCGCAAATTTATTTTTCATTCTTAACTACCCTGTCTTAATAATATGCCTTTCAAATAAACCTGAGTGCCACTTTATGATACCAGCGGGGTCTCACTGCCGATAGGGCCGTTCCAACTCATAGTGTCTGTCCGTTTACCATACTGTGGCGGCGTGTGTGCTGCTGTGGTACTGGAAGCTAGGCCACTGGTATTTCACATACCGCAGGGTCACACAAAGTGGACAGACTTCACAGACTAAGGACAAACAACAAAGAAGGACTATCAACCATTGGTTTTTGCAGATATGGCTTTTATTGTGTTGAGAAGTTTGCCTTTTATTCCAATTTCATTGCGTGTTTCCATCAAGAATGGGTGTTGGATATTGTCAAATGTTTTTTTTCATTTTTGGTTTTTCTGGGTCAACTGATATGATCCTATCGTTCTTGCCTTTTGTTTGTGTGGTGGATTATATTGATTGTTTTCCTGATATTGAACCACCCTTGTGTGCCTGGTATTAATGGTGATATTGTGATTGCGAGCGACTGTGGGATTCTCTTGGCAAGCGTTTGGTTGGGAAGCTCTGCACCTGTGTTCATGAGGGATATGGGGTTGGTCGTTTGGTGGCTTTGCTCGGTTTGGGTACCGGGTCTAGGCTCACTTCCCAAGGTAAGTCTGGAAGTTTGCGTCCTTTTCCATATTCGGGAGTAGATTGTGTAGAACTAGTGCCGGCTCCTCTGAGTTCCAGGGAGAGGGCTCCAGTGAAGCCAGCTGGTCCTGGGTCTTTTTTTCCCTTTTCTGTTGTTGGGAATTTTTGAATGATCTGATCTATTTCTCTTTTTTGGTTATGAGTTTGTTGAAGTCTTCTGCCTCAGTCTGTGTTAATTTTGATAGATAGTGATTTCCTAGACAGTTATCCATTTTATCAAGTTTTCCAGTATTTTGGATTACAGCCTTTCATTTTAGTGTGTGTATGTGTGTGTGTGCGTGTGTGATTTCATTTAGCTCTGTTGTCATGTCACCCCTTTCATTGCTTATTCATGATATTTGCATCTTTTCTTTCTTGTCTTTTGGCAAGTTTGCTAGTGGCTTGTCAATTTTGTTAACCCTTTCAAAGAACCTACTTGCCTTTTTCTATTATTTTTGTTGTCGAGTTTGTTTCTTTCTACTCCACTCCTTATGATTTCTTTTCTGCTGGTGCGTTGAGGTTTATTTAGCTAGTTGTCCTGGTTGTTGAAGATGTTGGATTAGGGTGTCAACTTTGGGTCTCACCTTTTTTCCATGCGTGCATTCATCACTATAAATTGCTTCCTGAAAACTGCTTTCTGTGTCTGAAAGGCTTTAGCATGCTGTGTTTTCGTTCTCTCTTGTTTTCAAGCATTGTTTGGGTGAATTCCTTACATCACCATTAACTCCGTGGTTTTTAAGCAGTGCACTGTTTCGTTTCCAAGTAGTCTAAATTTTGCCCCTGCTCCTCCTACTGCTTCTTTCTAATTCTATGGTATTGTGGTCTGAGAAAATGGCTCGTAAAAGCTCAATAGTTTCCACGTTAGTAAGGCTTACTTTGTGTCTTCACACCTGGTCTGTTCTGGAGAATGCGCCCTGCGCACCTGGAACGACTGTGTGCTCTGTGGGTATCAGGCAGAGTGCTCTGAGGGTGTCTAGTGGTCCAGCTGGTTCGCTGTGCTGTTTAGTTCTTCTGCGTCTTTTTTTCTCTTTTCCCCTTCCCGACCCCCCTTCTGCATGAAACCTTAATTATTTATCTATTTGTTTTCATGTTTTACACCAACTTCTGTTTACCTTCACCACTTTTCTGTTGTCCATGCCCCTGGGAAGGGGTTATTTGTAGATCATTGTGATCAGTTTCCCCTTTGTCCCCCCACCTTCCTCTTACCCTCCTGGTATTGCTACTCTCATTATTGGCCCTGAGGGGTTTATCTGTCCTGGATTCCCTGTGTTTCCATCTCTTATATGTACCCGTGTACAAGCTCTGGTCTGGCCGGGTGAATAAGGTACAATTGAGGTCATGATAGTGGGGTGGGGGGGGGTGAGGAAGCATTAAAGAACTCTCTTCTGTGTCTTCATTGAGTTTCTTTTCTGATGATCTGTCCTTCCTTGAGAGTGACGTCTTCCAGGCTCCTACTACCATTGTCTATTCTAGATCTGCCTCTTTGTGGGCAGACCTTTCTTCACGTGTTTTAGCACCGATTCTTTCTCCATCGGGGACATTGCAGTGGCTGTTTTGAGGTCTTTGTTCAATGTAAGGTGATGAATCCACATTCTTTGGTCACACAGTTCAGCTCCTCTGATTATGTGTTCAACGTGCACATTGAATAAAAGATCACCGACCTTTCCTGATTCTAAACCACCCAGACCCCCTGGTTCGGTTGGTCTATGTGGTCAGGTTCCACATGTGCACATTCTGCAATTCCCATTCCATAATTTGTTCAGACCCACATTATCAAATGCTCGTGCACAGTCGACCTAACGGGTAAATGTCTTTCTGGTATTTGCTGTTGTCTTATAACTTAAAAAAAAAATTTAAACGTATCACTGTCAAATCCACTCCAATCGAGGGCAAACCCACATGTTACAGACTCGAACCACAAGACGTTCTTCTTTATGGTGGCAGACCACAGGGCTTTCTTCTATGACACCAAAGGGTGGGTTTGAACCACCCTTGAGCTTACTGGCCAATCACAAACTCTTGGTAGCAACCAGAGACCTTATACCTCCTTAAGTCAAACCAAACTGGCTGGTTCTAACTCAACAGCGACCCTACGTGACAGAGTAGAATGGCCCCACAGTGTTTCCCAGGCTGCCATCTCCATGGGAATAGGCAACCACGTCTTTCTCCCAAGGAGCAGCTGGTGGGTTTCAACTGCTAGCATTTTGCTTAGCAACTGAGTGCTTAATATGCATGCCACCAGGGTCACTTATTACCTGACGACACACCATCTCTTACCACAGGGTGTCCAGCCATCCTCTACAGGAAGGCTGTGTGTCTTTCTCAGGGTGTGAAGCTCACCTGTTGTTGTTTCAGTGTTTGCTTTTCGTATTTCTTGCATGACACAGGGTCAGAAATACCTGTAAGAAAACGCTGCTAGAGGAGGTTCGGGAGCTAGAGAGCAGCAAAATCAAGAGCCAAGAAAATTATCTCCGCAGAAATTTCGAAAGCAGGTGAGTCAGTTCTGTTTGCCCTCCTTTTGTGAAGGGGCAGTTCTCCTCCAGGCTCGCTCTCACCTTTCACTCCCCCTCCCGCAGGTGTGGCCACATCCTGCCCATTCTCCCCAGGTGAGCCGAGCATGTCTCCTAGGCCAAGCTGTTCTTTCTCGGAGGGCATGTAGGCCTTTGGGGGTGTCGAGCAACGCCTCCAGAGGTGGCATTGGACCTGACCCTGTGCTCCTGAGCCAGGTGCTGGGAACGATCTCCAGGTCAACCCTGAAGAAAAGCTCCACACACCCAAAGACAGCAGACTTGCCTGCATCCCCCTCCCCCCTCTGGCTATTCATTTCCCAGCTCCTTTCATCAGACTCCAGAATCTGTTATTCTGTACAGGCAGATTTCAGTGTCTCTCCCCTCACTCACTCCTGGCAGGAGACTGGCTTAAGCTGCTCACCTCCAAGTCCGTGGTTGGAGCCCACCCACTGCTCTGTGGGAGAAAGATGAGGCTCTCTGGTCCCATCAAGAGTCACTGTCTCAGAGGCTCGATGGAGCAGCTCTACTCTGTCCTACAGGGTCACTGTGAAATGCCGGTCGGTCCTTAACCTTGACATTAGTGGACCCATTACTATGTACTTCTTCATGTCTTTTCTTCTCTCAGTACACAGAACCTCACCGTCTCTTGGCTTGTCTCAATTGTATTGGTCACTCTTTCTCAGTCTTCTTTTCCGACTTCTCCCTTCTCTGTTCTCAGTGTTGACCTGTTTCAGGACCCACTCATGGAACCCCCTCTTCTCAGTCTGTACTCACTCCCATGACTGGCTCTCTCGTGACTTGCAACATGGCGTCTGTCGGCATCTTCCAAATTCAAACCTCCTGCCTGGACCACTTCTTGTAACTCCAGACAAAGTTGGCACACAGGCACGTTTCTTGTAACTCCAGACAAAGTTGGCACACAGGCACACTTCCTGTAACTCCAGACGGCTATGTTGGCACACAGGCACCTCAACCCGAGGCACCGCAATCCGACCTTGCAGTCATGCTCCTGCCTCCAAACCTACCCTTTCCTGCAGCAAACGGCAGCTTCCCTCTTACAGGCTCTCGGGACCTCAAGACTCCGGGAGCCCGTCTTAGCCCCTCGATCTCACGTCCACACCTGGCACATGGGAAGAGCCTGCTCGGGCTACTTTCCCAGTGAATTCAGCATCAGACCACTGTTCTGAACCTGTTTGGCTCTTTCCCTGGTCCAAGAAAACCATCAGTCTTCTTTCTGAAGACTACTAACTGCTCATAGGTTTCCCTGCTTCCACCTCCCTTCTTTACAGCCTTCTCTCCATACAGCCGCCAGAGCCGCTTCGACCGTGGAAACTAGATCCGCCTCACCCTTATGCTCTGCATGGGCCCTGGCTTCCCTTATCACACAGAAAAGGGCAAAACACTTCCAGTGGCTGACCCTACCCTACACAGCCTGCCCCTTCACACACACACACACACACACACACACACACACACACACACGTGCACACACGTTCACCTGTTCATGATTGCACATGCCCACACATGCACATAGTCCTGCCCGCATCTATTCACACAGGCATACAACATTCTCATTTGCATGCATGAATGTACATACACGCTCAATCACACATGTGGTCACACACACACATACCTACACATGTGTGTAATTGCATGCATGCTCAGGAGCACACACGACAGTTTGAGATAGGGGTTTGTGTCTTTCTCGCTTAGAGCAGCGGTTTTCAACCTGTGGGTCCCGACCTGTGTGGGTGCCAAAGGACCCTTTCACAGGGGTTTCCTAAGACCATCGAAAAACACATATTTCTGATGGTCTTAGGAACCGAGACACTGCTCCTCTATCCGTCTCCAGGCGGGTCCGCCCAGATGCAGATACACCCACATAAGAGAGTACCCAGTGTGAAGACTGTTAACCATGTTACACCTTGCTTCAAGACAAAATTTTATTTATTTGTCATTAGAAATCAATATTTCACAATGTAGAATTACATATTGTTTTTGTGATTCATCAGTATGCTTTAATGATGTTCAATTTGTAACAATGAAAATATATCTTGCGTATCAGCTATTTACATGACGATTCATAACAGTAGCAAAATTACAATGATGAAGTAGCAATGGAAATAATGTTATGGTTGGGGGGGGTCACCTCCACACGATGACCTGTATGAAAGGGTCGCAGCGTGAGGAAGGTGGAGTCTTAGAATCTTAGAGTCTGTGGATCAGGCACATTCTCCCCCTGACACCTTTCCCACCCCTCACAGAGCACTTTACTCTGAAAACCGCCCCCTTTCACTTCAAATGCCTTAACAGAAAGCCATCTGGTCTCGAAGCCTCTCCTGGCAAGAGAGTTAGGCCTTGTCCACATGGACTGTTTCCATCCCTGAGGGCTGGGGGACAGGCACATCCATCTAATTGGACCCTGAGACTCTATCCCGGGCACACGTCTGCCCCAGAGTCTGAATGTGCAAGCGCGAAGCAGCTCACCTTCCTGACCTTGGCCAGCACAGTCATCAGGGTTTCCTGGGCATCAGAATGGTTCCCCAGGCACTGCCAACTGCCAATTGCTCTTGTCTTTACTTCCACTGGTTATCATTAGATGGCACTGAGAGAGGACCATTCCAAATACTAGGAAGGACAGAAGACTGATAGGATTAGCATTTCCATCTACTCCTCACTTAACAGCTGCCACATCATCTGACATCTCCTTTACAACATCAGTCTTAAAACCTGCTCTCTGACTGTCGTGTGCATTACAGAAGTACGTCTGGCAGTAACAGGGCCCAGGTGCAGGGCTAGAGGAATGTTGGCTATGATACTTAAGGTTATGTATCCACTTGGCTGGGCCATGATTCTCAGTGGCTTGGCAGTGACGTAATGATGTCATTTGGCAGTTATCATCTGATGTGACCACATCCTCCCTCCATTTTCATATAATGAATGCCCCGCTCTTTGGGAAGCAGATAATGTTGATAAGTGAGGACTGGGTGCAATTTTATATTGGTATATTTTACCTCTGTACCCAAGCTATTTCCAAAGGTTGATAAATCCCAACGGTGGGACAGAACCTGGGTGTTCATTCCTCTGAGCAGAGCACCCTGTTCCTGCTCAGGAAAGGCAACACACTTTGCTCTGGCTTTTCATGTGGCCTGGGCGTATCCTAGAGGCTTTGTTTTGGAGGTTTTTTTTTTTTTTTAACAGTTTTATTGGTCTGTAATTCACGAATCATACAATTCGCAAGTCATGTAATTCAATGGTTCAGTTGTATTAAGAAGAGTTGTACGATCATCACCACCATCCATTTTTGAACATTTTCTTCAATCTTGTACGGCGGAGTGGCCGCGGCCCGCTCCTGCAGCCTCACCGTCTGGGCATAGCTGGGCCCACTGTTGCAGTCAGCCACTGTGTACTGGGAGCCCAGCAGGGGCTGCCTCTGGGCAGCCAGGTGCATCAAATGGCCCCAAATCTCTGGGATTTAGGGAGGAGGGTTCCTGGACTCCCAGCGTGGGCCCAAGAGAATCTTTCTTGGTAGCCCTCAGGAGCTGTGGGCCCAGGGGTGTGCTGCTTTGCCACAAGGAAAAGGTGTTACAACATGCACTGTCAAACGTACCACTGCTCTGGCAGCCGGAGGGCCAAAGGGCACTGACTGCTGGAGCCCTGATGGCACAGCAGTTCAGCGCTCAGCTGCTAACCAAAAGGTCAGAGGTTAGAGCCCACCAGCTGCCCTGTTTCTGAAAAGAGTTAGAGCTGTGGACACCTTGGGGGTGGGGGTGGGGTAGTTCTACTCTACCACATGGGGCCACTACTCAACGCAACCACAACAATCTCTCTCGCTTCCATCAAGTGGATGCCGGCTCAGCTGACCCTGCAGGACAGGGTAGAGCTGCCCCTGTGGGCTCCCAAGCCTGTGACCCTTCCCGGGAGCAACCTCAGCTTTCCCCTGCGGAGCGGCTGGGGTTTCAACTGCTGACCTCATGGTTAGCATGCCGCCAGAATCCGTACGCCGCCAAGGCTCCTTACACGAGAGTGTACTGTGTGCTACGTTTCTACTTTCTTTGGCGCTGTGGGCTAGGTGTCGGGCTGCCAGCTGCAAAGTCAGCAGTTCAGACCCAGCCCCCACCCCTGCTCTACGGGAGAAAGTGGAGGCTCTCTGCTCCCATAAAGACCTCCGGCCTCGGGAAGTCTAAGGCAGCCGTTCTACTCCGTCCTATGGGTCACGATGAGTTGGGATTGACTCCACGGCAGTGAGTTTGGTCTGTCGAGGGCTTCTGGCCGTCTGCTTAGTAAAGACCACAGCTTAGGAAACCCCGCAGGGCAGGTCCGTTCTGTCTGTGAGGCTGCTGTGGGCTGGAATCCACTCCATGGTTGTGGGTTGGGTCGAGCTTGGGCTTGGCTTGATTTTTCAGCTCAGCTCTCTGGGGAAGACAGTTCAGAGAGGCAAAGATACGAGAGGCATCAGGCTCTCACGTGCTGTTTCAGGAGAAACACCTTGTCAAGAAGGTCTTGATATAGAATCTGCGTTATTTTCAACAGATGGACAGTCTTTACAATGTGCAGAAAGTTGTGGGTTTTCGGGGGGAGGAACGTGTTCCACTCTTATCTGACAGCTTTATGACCACCCCCGCCCTGTACCACCATACCACCTCTGAGACCGATTCCGAAGAGCTGAAGCCAGGCTGTGTTTGCTGTGTGCTCTCAGGGTGAAGGCAGAGCAGCGGCTCTCTGCGCACAGCCAGGCCCATGAGATCGTCTTCCAGAACAGCTCTGCGGACCAGCGGCAGCCATGTAAGTGACAGGGTGGAGACGCCGGGACTCGGGACAGGCCAAAAAGAGGGGTCACAGAGAACAAGGACCTTTGGGTGAAGAGAGAGGGCAGGAGCCGTTCGGGCAAAGAAGTCAGTGGGTTTGGCCACCTTGTAGCAAAGAAAACCTAACTCATTTTACTTAATGGGGGGAGCGGGGCACGTGAGGGGTCTGCGTTTCAGATCATCATGTGTGCCTTCAACAAGGTAAACAGCGTATCAAGCCTCCTAGCAGCTTGCCTTGCCCTGCCTGCCCTTTGTGTGCGCCCCTCCCGCCCCTGTATCCGTCATCGGAGTTAGCCCAGGCGCCTCTCCAATAGGCAACTGGTCCCCTGCTCCCTCCCACCCCTGGGGACCCTCAAAGTCTGTCTCTTTGGTCATGAAAGCCTTTTATCTTGATTTTTCTCCTGTGTGACAGTGGTCTCACACGACAGTCATCCTGTTGGGGTGACTGCCCCGCTGCGATGGAAGGCCTTTTCCCGGCACCGTTCTTAAGATGACAGGATCCTTCCATGTAAACTGTCCCGGTGTTTCCTTCGCGTTTCCATGGACACAACCCCTCACGGCCCCTCCAACAAAACAACATTTTAAATGTGGAAGCAATGCTGGGTCCGAATCATTTTTATCCAAAGGAGATTCACGTGTGTCTTTGGCTCTGTGTGCGAACACGGCCCACTGTGGCATTAGCACATCCCCAAGTTATTCCATGTCCCCTCCCTCCCGAGAACTGCTTCCACGAGTGACGTAGCCTATGTGGTTCCCATGAGGCTGAGTGGGGTGGCGGGGAGGAGGGGAGGGGGCTCACGGCAGCACAGAAAAGGGAGGTGAGACCGAGAAAAAGAGGGAAAGAGTGAGAGCCCACGGCCACCAGAGCCATCATGTCAAGCGGCTAACTGTCCCTGAGCCACGTTGGACTCGGGGCAAACCCCACATAGAAAGGAATGTGCCCGCCCCATGCCATGGTCACTGTGCATCCTGAGCTCCTGCTATCCCAGGGGGCTCATCTTCCCGCACGTTGTACAGCATGCCCTGGGGGTCCACTGGCTGCTCATTGGCTGGCTTTCAGAAGTCGACCACCAAGCCTTTCCCTATTTCATCCGTCTTTGTCTGGAAGCTCCGCTGAAGCCCACCCACCGGTGGTGTTAGAAACACCCGGGAAACACCAGTGGCATGGCTCCAGCATCATAGCAACACGCAGCCACCACAGTGGGGCGGACTGACGGACGGACGGTGGCTCCAGAGTTTGTGAGATTGCGAAGTGCCAGCCTCTCTGATGGTCCACATCTGCCCTACCCCCATTTCCTCCCTCCTGAGATTCATGTCGGTTTAGACCACTGAATCGCTCTTGTTCTGTCTCTCTCTCTCCTCCTTTTCTTTACACGACTTCTACCCCTTTCTCTTCTCCTTCTTCCTGACCCGTCTTGGAAGAAGCACAGCCAGAATGCTCCTTAGAAAGAGGACAAGACACTGTCTCCAGTGTGCAGGACACGTAGTCAGGAGAGACCCGTCCCTGGAGAGGGACATCGTGCTGGGTGACGTGGAGGGCGGCGGAGAAGAGGAGGACCCTCGTGACAGGAACTGAGAGGACGGTGGGCTGGAGCATAACAATGGGGGGCACGGTGCCCTTCGGTTGTGTTCCGGGTCCCAGGGAGCCCGACCCGACCCGACAGCACCTAACAGCACCGCAACCCAACCGCAGTGAAGACATTTAGCAAGGAACAGCTGAAAAGCACCAACGGGACACCGGCACCCAGGCAGGCATCGACAGGCCATGGGTTCGCATCCCCCAGCCTCTATCCCCCACGGATGAGATTCACTCGACTTGTGCCCGACTCAGAGCGTTGACTCCGAAATTAACTTCTCCCGGGCTCTCACTACTAGATGCACCCACCTGCCATCGGTGCCCCCACACAAGCTGCCTTCTCGCTGTTCCCTCATCCACTCCCCATGCCTCTCTGTAGCCGGCCCTTCTCTTGTCCCAGGGAACCCTCTGCCCATGCCCACTCGGGAGCTTTACGCCAGCAATTCCCCCCGGGCTGCCCCCACCACTCGATTGTCCAAGGAGATGGGCGGACACAGGGGCTGGCACACCAGGCTCAGGCATAGGAACTATGTGAGTGTGGCGCAGGACCGGGCAGTGCATCCCTCTCCTGGACAGAGGGTCGCTATGAGTTGGCACCAGCTGAACGGCACCTCATAGGCCCATCGCAGACAGCGCTGTACTCTAAGCCACAAAGGAAACGTCCTTTGTGACGACAAACATGATGCCGCCTGCTCTCGGCTTTGTCGGTCTCCGCCCGTCATCCCGATCCAAAGCGGCAACACCGGCCCATTTCCACACAGTCCTGCCTCGGCCGTTGGTCTCTGTTCTTCCTGTTTTATTGTCCACGGCCTTCCCTGCCCGTCGGTTCACACTGGACACAGGCCCGGTTCTCACTGCTGTGCTCCTCTGACTGAGCAAAGACAGGAAGGTCCCCCGAGCCTTCTAGGAAGGAGCCCTACCCTGCTGTGTCTCGGGTGCCATCCAGCACGAGGGGGGCTCAGCCTCCGCACGGTGCCGATGATGGGCTTTCCTGCTGTTCCCAAGAGTTCCTTCCCGTGGCTGCTTTCCAGCAGTGGGTCCCCTCTTCCCTCTGAACATGAGACATCCCTGGATAGGGTACCGCAAACACACCCCGAAAAGACAAACAATAACCTAAAAGAATTGCATCACCAGGTGAATTCTTAGCCGTTATTCCCCATGTGTGCACCTAAGGCGGCCATTCTGATGCCCCTCCGCCCTCCAAAGCGGGCATTAGTGGGCTGGTCGCAAGAAGCTTATGAAAGAAGAAGAGGGGCAAGAACGCTGGAAGGTCAGCCACTGTTGAATCTTCACGCGCTCCATGGAGCTCTGCTCACCCCGTCTTAGGAGCCTGGTGACCCTGGCATCAGCATGGAGTCGCTCCCTGGAGGGTCAGCTGTTCAAACCCACCAGCTGCTCCGTGGGAGAAAGCTGAGGCCTCCTGCTCCCGTGAAGACGGACAGAACCCCGAGAGCAGCTCCACGCCGCCCTGTAGGCTCGCCGGGCGGGGAGCCACGCGGACAGCAGTGGGCTTGGTTTTGATTTTCTCCAATGCCGACTGAGCTCAGCCGACCTCAGGTTAGCCGTGCATCTCAGGTCCTGCACCTGCCGCCACCCCTTTCCGAGGTCCCAATATGGAGAGCCCTGTAAGTTAGGCCAGGGGGCCGGCCCTGGCTGTGTTGGGACCGAACCTTGTCCAGCAAGAAAAGACAAGTTTGCCTTGCTTCCGAGCAGCTCCGGGCGGGCTTTCTGCCATGGGGAGCAGGCTTTGCGGGTTAATGTTTGGTTGTGTGGATAGGAACGGCCTTAGAAACCCAAGTGAGGTGCTTGTATTCATTTCCTTCTCCAACAAAACGAGTGAACAACTCTCCAGTTCTACTGTGAGATTCTGACTGAGTTAGCTGACGGTGTGGATAAAAGATGGCAAGGATGGCATCCCAACCCACCCCACCAAACCCTGGATAGGATTTCTGAGACTTTACACCTTTCAGGAAGCAGGCAGCCTCGTCTTCCTTTGAGAGCAGCTTGTGGGTGTGAACTGCCCACCCACAGTGCCTAGCCCACAGCACTGCCAGGGCTCTGCAGCCGGCCCAGCGGCTGGGAAAAGCAGGTGCCTAGACCCACGCAGTGGTTGTGATTGGGCTGACCTAGAATGGCGGTTAAGTCGTGCAGTTCTTGGACCAACAGCACAAGCATGACCAGAACTTGTGAGAAACGTGAGCTCCCCATCCCTTACGTAGCCACTCAACCAGTGAGCTCTCCATCCCTTACGTAGCCACTCAACCAGAAGTCCTGGAGGTGGACCCAGCTCTCTTCAGGTGAATTCTGCATCACACTGTGTCTCGGAGTTACTGGTCAAGGGCGTAGGCTCGACAGTGGGATTCTGACCAGCTCCCCATGAGCCCCGAGCATTGAGAATCACCTGTTCATCCGAACGGCAGCATTTCACGTTTGTGACCTGTCAACTTGGCTAGAACAGATTCTTAGTGGTTTGGCGGACGTAAGGCTGGCTGCTTTTCCACAATGTAAGATGATGCAATCATCGTCGATTTTGTGAGCTGATTTGAGCAGCCCATCCGTTGAAAAGTCAATCCATTGCCTTGAGGGTGTGGCCTGCACCCTATAGGTAGGCAGGTCCTGGCTTGGCTTGCTGCCTCTGGATCTTAGACCTGACTCATCATCGTTAGACCTGTGGTTCTTGGGAGGTGAGCCAACAGCCTGCTGGCTGGCTTGTCAACTCTGGATTGGTGACATCTCACAGCCACATGAATCAGGTGAGGCCTCCAGACTGGTGTCTGGCCCACAGATTTGGGACTTAGGCTCCACAACTGTGTGAGACCTTTTCTTGCAAGAAATCTCTCTTTGCTTTTATACACACACACACACACACACACACACACACACACACACACACACACACCATTGATTTAGCTCCTCTAGAGAACTCAGCCTCAGGCAATGTAATTAATAAGTCATTAGAAACAAATTACATTTCCCATTTATATTTCTACTTTCAAAGATTGTAGCTGCTGAGGGACAAATCCATTGGCAGGCGCTGGCCAAGTGGTGGACCTTTAGAGGCATATGGGTGGAGACAGGGATGGCCGGCCTAGGTTGGGATGCATCACCCATGTGAGTGACTGAATGGATCCATTTTCAAGGGCAAGAGTTAAAGAAGGGTGGGGACATTGGTCACCACCTCCCAACGCACACTGAGTTCTGGCACTGCCTTCATGGACGATTGTAAGACCAGCTCTTTCTGCGTTCACACACCAATCAGAATTCAGTCCCCCAGAATCCTGCAGCTGCCCCTGTTTCGTTTTTCCGTGGTGATTGTAATTTGGGTGAAAGAGGAATTGGCCTTCCACCCCACTGTTGCCACACATTTTGCTTTGTGGCTTTGGTTGTCAATCCCAGAATGCAACAGCACTCTTCCCACTTCCTCCCTGTGTTTAAGTTTGCTGTCTCTTTGTTGAGGGAGCCCTGGTGCCGAGGTGGGCAATGCGTTGGGCTACTAACCGCATGGTCAGCGGTTCAAAACCACTAGCCACTCTGAGGGGAAAGGATGAGACTTTCTATTTCCGTAAAGAGTTACAGTCTCAGAAGCCCAGAGGGGCAGTTCTCCGCGTCTCTGTGAGACAGAGTCTACACCATGGCAGGGAGTTGGAATTTGAGTTACCTTTTCAACCTTGAGCAAACCCACTTTGAGTACGTCTCTAAAATAGCCCCACATTTTAAACCAGCTGTGTTTCCAGCATTGTGAGTGCCTTTCTGAATGTAACATCTGTGTTATACAGGGTCTCCTGCTGTGTTTCTGGCCACAAGGGGCAGTGTCGGGAATCCAGATATTTCCCGAGGCCGGGGCAGTGGTGGGAAGATGAACACATGGCTGGTCAGGGAAACCATACACAAAGCATCTCAGGCTGCACTCAGATGCTCTGCTGCC